AAAATGTGTGAATTATGACAAAGTTAAAATAAAAAAATATTTATTTATTTTAAATAATAAAAAATAATTAATTTAAAATAATTTTTAAATTAAAAAACTACTATTATTTAAGCATAGATATAGTTGCCATAAAAACAAAAAATCGGAACGAAGAGGGTATAAACAAAGATTAATTAGTTATCTTATTTATGTCTTTAGTTGGGAGTTCAATGAAAAAATGTTTGATTGGTTCAAAGTGGTTATTGGAAATTTTGTTGCGTTAATGGAAATTTTGTTGGGTTAATGGAAATTTTGTTGGGTCTTCTTGAAGAGGTCCAAGCCCTGTAACTCACAATTTTATTTATTTATTTTATTTATAATTAAAATATCTTTAAGTTTGTTTATATATATTTAAAAATTATTTTTTTTAATAAATTTAAAAACATATCTTTTATATTGACATGAAATATATAAAAAAATATTTTTTTAAATATTAGTCTCAAAACTTAAACATTAGACCTAACCTATAAGTTTATTTGCTATTTAAATGTTCTGTGTTGGCATTCAAGCAAAGCAATTGTAATCTTAATAATTTTATTAACGATTTAACCAAGCCATGTTGGCATGCAAGCAAAGCAATTGTAATCTTAATAGTTTTATTTAGGGAAATGATTTTTGTGTAATCTTTTCGTTTCACTTTTTTATACAATTTGACGTGTCATTAAAATGATTAATTCTTTTAATTTATATAGGATCCGTAATATTGAATGCATACACTAATTTAATGACACATGAAAATTATATGAAAAGATAATATAAAAAAATTATCTTTATAACACTATTTTTTTATTGACAATTTAAAAATGTTATCCTTATAACACTACCTTTAACAATTTAAATGTGCCATGTTGGCATGCAAGCAAAGCAATTCTCGTCCCATTGGCGCTCATCTGTACATGGATAATGGAGGCCAAACCCCGCGTGATGCGCTTTAAATGGAAAACGTTAACTTTTTTTCTCAATTACTCAAGTCGATTAATAAAAAGGAAATTTTCCTTACTTAAATAAAAGTTAGGGACAGAAACCTTCAAAAGTTGACAAGTTAAAGAGATTCTATCAGTTTTTGCCATTAAAAGGATTTTACTTATAGATCACCATTTTTTTGTTTCGGATAACGTGGATTGCAAAACAAAAATCTTTAAGGGCGCATTTGTTGTAACTTTTGAATAGTTTCAGGTTTTTTACATTATTTATATTTTATAAATTTAAAATTTTTTTTAAAATTTATATTTTTAAATATTTTTTTAACTTTAGAAAGATTCTAAACAATAAAATATCAAAAGTTTTTCATTCAAATTGTTCATAAATTTTCTTTTTATTCACTTTTTTATCTCTAAAAGTAACTTTTAAATTTTTCCTTCAATAAAAATTTAAACTTATCACTTATGAACAGTACAAAAAAAAGTAAAAATTCCAACAAGTTACACCAAAAAGGCCCTAAATGAAGAAGCATTGTAATATTAAAAAACTCACCTCTTATTTTAAAGTTTCCGTTTGCAGTTTAGATCATTTTTTTGTTTATTTAGAAATAATAATATAATTATAATATTGTGTAAGATTTTAATTTTATAATTATAATGTGATATTAAATAAAAATATTATGATATTAAAAAATATATATAATATTCTGAATGAATTCTAAATAAGAAGAGTTATTTATATAATAATACATTATATTATATAATTATAATATTATGTAATATTAAGAAAATTAATTTTTTAAAGTATTAATCTCCATTTGTGGTAAAAAAAAAAAACTAACCTCAAAACTTAAATATTAAACCTAACCTACAGTTTCATTTACTATTTAAATGTGCTATGTTGGCATTCAAGCAAAGCAACTTGTAATCTTAATAATTTTATCTACGATTTAAACGTGCCATGTTGGCATGCTTACTATTTAAATGTGCTATGTTGGCACTCAAGCAAAGCAATTTGTAGTCTTAATAACTTTATTTACGATTTAAACGTGCCATGTTGGCATGCAAGCAAAGCAATTCCGGTCCCATTGGCGCTTATCTATACATGGATAATGGGAGGCCAAACCCCGCGTGAAGCGCTTCAAATGGAAAACGTTAACTTCCTTTTTTTTTTTTTTTTAATATTATTATTGC